TTTTATCGGCGATCATACGCGGCAAAAGACATGGATTGCGTTCCGAGTTACGCATGAAGCATCATTTGTTTTTGTTTTTTGCCAATTAATAAAGAAGAATAAAACAATACATGCTCTTCATGCGTAACTCGTAACGCACTCATGAGGGTGACTTTTTACTGCACGTGGTTTGCTTTCCATTGTTTTCGTTCCAAAATGAGAAGTCGCCCTGATGCGAAAATGTATCGTTCAATTTATTTTTACATATGTTCGTGTAAGACATGTAAGATACATCATATTTGTTACGTAAATTTTAAAGTTATCCTATTACGTTCAATTATTCATAATAAAAATGCAGAATATAATTTATTCTATATTTAAAAAGAATTGTCCATTATACATAATTTATAATACAAACACGGCCGTGCTTTACAAGTACATATATATTATACATTGATATTTTGTGTGAATTAATTATATTCGAAATTTTGTCATGTATCTGTATGTGTAATATTTGACAATCTAGCGTACATTGGAGGCACCTTTATGTACTAGATAGGGGGAGCGCTTTCTAAAATATTTGATAGAGCGTTAAAAATGCTGGAACCGGCCCTATAAATAGTCTTTATGACATAAACATGGAATTTTTTATACAAATATAACTATTATGTGAAACGTTCATTTATTGTGTGATCAATTACTTCTATAAAAAGTAGCTGATCAGAAGTTATTTTTTCAGGGAAGCAGCATATAATTTGATCCCAAGTCATCGCTGGATACGTGGACATTACACACAATCAGCAAGAAGTAATGAAACAACACTCAATCAATGTAATGAAAAATTAATTTGTATGTATTAGCCATTTAAATACTTTACATAAGCACTTGGTAGAAGCACATCCAAATAAATTAGCAGAAGAAGAGAAGAAAGAAGTTAAATTCCATTGGGTTTAGAACTATTTTGCCGTAAAAAACGACACAGAGACAACGTGTAAAGAATATAAAGCAACAATTAGGTGCATACGTGCATTGATTTAAAAGATTTAAAAAGAATTCACAAGTAAGTATCTTCCATGTATTCCAAAGGTTAATGATATTACCCGCGTGCCTGTGTGCATCATGTTTTTATCCTTGTTGTTAATCCTGTTAAACATTGTTGTTAACCTTGTATTAAATAAAACCGAAATGGTGCCCGAGAATACTCGGATGATGTTTCTGATCGTAGTCAACAAAAAAAAATCCCATCGCTTGCTGTAAGATGGATTAATAGTTGTATCTCGCGGTGTTGTTTTTTAAATTATAAATCTCATCGAAAAATTTCGAAAATCTACAAAGATTCTAATTTTAATATATAGTTGTACTCATCCTGGCGTAAAAACATTTACTTAAAACTACGTAGATTGATATAAATTAAATAGTATTGGTTATCAAGGCCCATTAGCGATGAATCAGTTCATGAGGTAACATGCCTTTTTGGAGTTAATCACAAAATATTGGTGTAAATAATAGGTGCAATAAAATTTATATATTCACATATCTTAGTCAAAAATCATAGGTACGTTTCGATCCCTGATTACTACTTGGGCGGTTCAAGTCAAACCGGAACTGTTGTTCTTATGTTCATGAGAATAAAAGTCCCGGTTTGACTTGAACCATCTACGTTTATAGATTGAGACAGGATTTTGGAAATTATTAGTTTTTCATAGATATTCGTAGTGGGATGCAGAGCGGTATTATTTGTTTGAAAAATACCTAGAAATCTTCCGCTCTCAAACAACGCCACTCTAAGTCCCACAACGAATATCTATGAAAAACTTATGTTTTCTAAGACAAACAAACCTCACTTTACGTTCCACTAGGAATATCTATAAAAAATTAAGAATTTCTAAGATCTTGTCTCAATATAGTCTTTCTATGCTTTTTCGTAAAAACTTTTTCTCTGCCAGTGTAATCTGCTGTAGTTTACTGTATTTAAATAAATATGAAAATGTGAAAAATTTTATAATAGTAGATCAAAATAATTTTACCGAGTTCGTAGAAGACTCCTAAGTATAATAGATAAATATACACTTTTTGCAAACTTTTTCCAATTCAAAATTCTAGCTTTTTTAGTTAAATTTTTGTAGCATTTTTGAATATTTTAGCAATTATTTTGTGAAGTTTACTGTAGTACAACTTTATTTTTTTGTAGAATTTTGTAGAACTTTCTTTGCCAGAAAAATTCTTATATTGATCATATATTTACATCCATAGCAGCTGTTAAAGTATCAGTCGCATAACTATCGACTAATATAATTATAACATTAAATGCCAAATATTTTATCACTTTATCAAATTTTTATGATCGTCTATATCTCAACACAGATTTGCACCGAGCGCTTTAAATTCAATGGATCGTTTTGTGGAAAGTCTTTCCGATACAGATTCGGCAGAATATGTAGAACCAACTAATTCAGATGACGACTTATCCTTTAATGAAAGCTTTGACCTCCTTAGACAACATTAATTTACGCCATTATGTATAAAACAACTACATTTATTGACGATTTCAAACCGAATGAAAATCCATTAATGACACCTTAATGCATCAACTTTCAACATTTAAATTCATCTTGGTTTATTTCGGTATGATTTTTCGTTTTCGAGATATAATAATATAGATCTTTCCCCATGTAATACATGAAGGAGATATTTTATTCCGTTTTAATTCTATATGTGTGGAAGTTCATTTGTACACGAAAAAAAGACACAGCTATAAACTTCATTGTAGATTCAACTGTAGATTCAGCAAATCTACAGTCGTACTACACAGACAGTCAATTTTCTATGTTAAAGTAGCAAAGTTGACAGCTGAATAACATTAGCGATTTGTTAAACCATCAAATCTTCTTAGTTACAGATATTGAATTCGCGGAGTAAATTACAGGATTACTGTACCTCTCAATTAATTTTTTTTCCGTGTACTTACTGATTTATTGTACTATATGTACGTAATCGAATCATATTATAATAAATCAAAGAACAACGTGAAATTAACAAAATAAATTATGACTATTTAATATTATTACCTCTTGAAAAAAATGTACCGAATTGAAACAGATTGGGTTTTTAAGTTGAAAACCGTCAAAATATTCGTTTTTGTACATTAATGTAAATATAACAATTCATAAAAAAAATCAAATCTTCTTAGTTATATATATTGAATTCGCGGAGTAAATTACAGGATTACTGTACCACTCAATTTATTTTTTTTCCGTGTACTTACTGATTTATTGTATTATACTTTCAACCTCTTTCAACCTCAATTAAACCTTATAAACCTGTTTTGATACTTGTGCAATCAAGGATTCTTTTTAATTAGGATCTCTTTTAATATTACTTAATCTACAGCTTTTCTATTTAGAAAATTTCTTATGAACCTAAAAATAGGAAATCTTGCAACAACTGCCATTTACAGGTTCAACGTTGGAGCTCAATTCATTAGATTAGAACATATTATAAATCTCTAGAGTCTACATACGTCATCTTTAGAGTCTATATATGTCATAAAACTAAGGTTCAAAGTAGGAGCAAAATTTCGATTCGGGATAATTGCAAAAGAAATGTAATTATAGTTACTTTTCTTTTGCAATTATACCGAGTCGAAATTTTGCTCCTACTTTAAACCTTAGTTTTAATAACATATGTAGACTCTAGAAGCTTTATAATAGAAGGTTTAATCTATTGAGAATTGGGCTCCTACATTGAGTCTTTAAATGGCAGTTATCGGAAAATTTCGTACTTTTGGTTTAAAAGAGGTCATCGGTCAAATCTCTTAAAATTCTCCATAGATCCTCTTCAAATCCATACTTCTGTATCCTTTAATTAAAATTTAAATAATTTAATTACTTTTAATTGATGTCGTCTTGTGACATTATAATTACGATACAAATTATTTATTTTTATATTAAATGACATCTTATAAAATTATTTCATTGCGCGTATTATGGTTATATACAGGGTGTAGAAAAAGTCTCGGACCCCTTAAATATCTTGAAAAGTAATTATTTAACCTTGGATGGCCACTAAGGTCAAATTAAGGTCAAATCGATTTTTTTAAACGAAACACCCTATTTTTGATTTTAGAATCTAATAGCTGAGATCGGGAGCTTTCCAAAATATTATAATAAAGCCTCTTTTTAATCAGTACTTTTCAAGTTATAAGAGTTGAAAGTTACGGAACCGCCGGCAGTAGCATTATCTAAGGTATTACGTAGAGATTGCCCGACTGGATTTATGAGTCATGTATGTGCCCGCGAATGTCTGTATCTCTATCTCCTCCTCCCTCCTACTCTTTCCTTCTCCTTTCCCCCTTCCCTCCTACTCCTTTTCATCCCCTCTCCCTCCTTCCCACCCTTTCAACAAAGCTGGAGACTACATAAGCTAGAGATCTCTCCTATCAAGTTCACTCTTTCTATGACCTGTGATTGAGAAGGTATACTTTTTCGTGATAATCCGTTCTGAGATTGCTTATCGCCATATAGTTATCTTTGTTTATAAAGTATTTATTTAAAATACTTTATAAGTATTTATTAAAAATACTTTATAATATGCTTATTGAACACGATATGTACACGTATATCCCTCTTAATGCGAGGATATGGTGGACGTAGGAGGTCTTACGCAAGCGACAAGACTTTTCAATCAATTTTTTAGAAATGAAGACAATAGTATATCTAAATCAACTGTCATTCGTTTGAGCATTTGTCATTACTTTAACTCTGCTCGCCTTATCCACCAGTTTTTAGTTACTTTCTCGGCTAGACCCCACCGAGATCTGGAACTTCGTCAAGTTATATCTCTGAAGGGAAAACATATTTTTAACTTATCACATGCAAAATTGATATCTCTAGAGTAAGACAAGAACAAATAAACAAAGATGAAACAAAAAATATTTTATTGTTAAATTACATCATAAAAAGTTAAAGTCTGAATTGCAATGTGAAAAATCGCATTAAATACGTCATATCCCAGTATGCCGAGCTAGTTCTAAAAGAATATTACATATTACAATCTGCTCTTACGATCTGACAATGAGCTAGACGATTATAAAACTTAAGACTGCATTTTTACAGAATTCACGAGGCATGATTTTAAATTCGTTTATTACTCGTTGACGCAAATCATTCAAATCAATCAAGATTTCGAAGTTTAGTAGTATAAATTTTTCCCTTTAAATATCCCCATAAAAAATAGTCGAGTGGATTTAGATCAGGCGATCGTGCTGGCCATTCATTGTAACCCCCTTCTTCCTATCCACCTATTCGGAAAAACTTCATTCAGATGTTGGCGTACTCGTAAAACGTAGTGGTGGCGCCCCATAATGCTGGAACCAAATGTCATTGAAGTTGTGACGAGCGATGTTTCGGATTGCCGGAACTATTTCATCTTGAAGCATGGCTAAGTAATTGTCAGCGTTTAAATTACCTTCAATAAAGAAAGGCCCAATAATGGTTTCATTTAAAAGTCCAACCCATACGTTGACTTTTTGTTGACTCTGAGTATGTGCCTTGTACATCCAATGAGGATTTTCATCGCTCCAATATTTGCAATAATGTCGATTTACATTCCCGGTTATCTCAAAAGTAGCTTCATCTGAAAAAATAATGTTGACTACAAATAAAAGATTTCTATCGATATTTAACATCATACTTTCACAAAATTCAATGCGACGATCAAAATCATCTTCACATAGTTCCTGCGCCAGATGGATCTTATATGGATGAAATTTCTCCTTTTTTAGAATTTTATGAACTGACAGGATCGATGTTGTGTTGTTGTGCAACTTTGCGAATTGAATTACGCGGATCTTCGATAAAAGACTGTAGAACATTCAATCTTTTATCAGGATTTGTCGCTATTGCTGGTCTATCTTGTCTATTACGGTCTTTTAAAAAACCCATTTCTTCAAAACGTTGTACAGTACGAATAACAGTCGATTTAGATATACCAATGTCCTCATTCCTAAAAGTTTGAATGAAAAGTTCTGTCACATGTGCGTAAGACCTCCTACGATCACCCTCGCATCATTGAAAGGGATATACGCTCCTGTTCAGTAAGCATTATAAATTTATATTGTAGTATTTTAAATAAATACTTTATAAACAAAGATAACTATCTGGCGATAAGCAATCTCAGAACGGAGTATCACGAAAAAGTATAGGGGAGAGTGATCTAAATCGGATCTATTTGCAGTTTTTGCTCTCTATAAGGCATAAATAAAGTCCGATCATAAAATCGAAGGTGCTGTTGGAAAGATCATTTAATTCCATTCATTTTTGCTTCAGATTATTTTGACGTATCTCTCACTTGTGTTAAACTATAATGGAAAATGTAAAAACTCTTTTTCCGGTCCGATTTAGAACTATTGGTTCCAAATCGGACCATCCCCTGGTTCAAATCGAAAACTCCTATTTTTATAGATTTTTAGATAGAATTTTAAAATATTTTAATGTATTTTTCTTAGTACTGAGTAAAAACGAGCAATTTGACAGTCAAAGATAAACATTTCTTTCGGAAAAAGAAAATACTGACTATTTATATTATTAGAATTGAAATCAATAAAACTCAACTAATCTGAGTCTGATGACTCGTGATATTTTACTGATTTAATTGCTTGGACCAGATCTAGTTAGTCGATCACTAGTAATACAACCAGGCCTAAGTTATTCACTGTACTGTCCGATTTGGACACGGGTCCTTTCGAACTTTGGAACAAATTTTAAAATAAACCGCAAAAGCTTGATCACGAAATGCTGGATATTTTTTAATTCTACACACTGTAATTATCTTAAATCAATTACTTTTCAAATTTTTAACACCTTTTAAATAATGATTTACAAGAATTTTCTTTTTTAAAAAAATTTTCGCACGATGGCTGAAAATACATATTTGCCTTTATTTTATGAATGTTATGACAGAGAACTGCCAAACTGCTATCACATGTTCGGTGTCTTATAAAGACTTTACGTTGTAAATAGTACGCAAATCTGCTTAACCGTATTCATTTAAATTAAAAAGGTCCTATTTAGAACATGGTCCGATTAAGACCACTCTCTCCTACCTTCTCAATCACAGGTCACAGAAAGAGTGAACTTGACAGGTGAGATCTCCATTTTATGTGGTCTCCAGCTTTGTTGAAAGGGTGGGAAGGAGGGAGAGGGATGGAAAGAAGTAGGAGGGAAGGGGGGAGAAGAAGGAAAGGGTAGGAGGGAGGAGGAGATATATGTAGATACAGACATTCGCGGGCACATACATGACTCATAAATCCAGTCGGGCAATCTCTATGTAGTACCTTAGATAATGCTAATGCCGGTTCCGTAACTCTCATAACTTGAAAAGTACTGATTAAAAAGAGGCTTTATTGCAGTGTTTTAGAAATTTCCCGACCTCAGCTATTAGACACTAAAATCAAAAATACTTGACCTTAGTGGCGCTATTCAAGGTCAAATTGATAAGATCAGTCAGTAGAACATTTTCAACCCTACAACTTTTGTATAACACATTTTTCTCAAAAATGATTACATTTCAAGATATTTAAGGAGTCCGACTTTTCCTACACCTTGTATATTACGGTTATATATAGATCCACTGCAGAGAGTAAAGTATTTCAGTATTAATATTATGTGTATTATAAAAAATAAATTGTATCACAATTAATGTCGTAAGACTACAGCAGATAAGAGTCGGCTAGTTTAACTTGGGACGAGAGAGAGAGAGAGAGAGAGAGAGAGAGAGAGAGAGAGAATAATAAATCAAAATGTAAAAAGACATTTAAAGGTTCATGTTTTTTAATTTCATTTTATATTTTATTTTAAAGTTGATTCCATTATAAAACAGAATTATGTGAAAAATAAAATGTAACTTTAAAATGCAACAATAAAATGTATCTTTTTAGATAGAATTATTGCATATATAAAGTATAATGTATTTTTTATTCAAGGAGATAATTTTATATATGATAGTAATACTTTTTTACAAAAATATCATATGTCAAACAATACACTACTAATTCCGATAATTAATATTGTTACCGGTTGTGTATATATGAATATTAATAATCAAATGTATGTAGGGATTCTTGTCAATCTACAAGGGCTTGAATAAAATTAAAAACTAATATGAATTGACGATTGTATTTTATTTCTTTTCTTACAATGTCACAAAATAATAAATAATTATAATGATATAAATAATACATAGGTATATAATATATATGTTGCGTGTGTGTGTGTGTGTGTGTGTGTGTATTGTGTGTCGTGTGTGTGCGCGCGCGTGTGTGTATGGAGTTTTGTAATTGTAAAGTGCAAAATGAGTATTATAAATATAAAATAAAATTTAACTAAAATAATATCAAAAAGTTTGAAAAAATTTTCACAATACGAAACAAAAGTAAAATTTTGTCTAATTCAATATAGTATTTGACGAATTTAAATACGAGCTGTATATTAAATAGCATCAAAAGAGACGTAAATCTCCTAATAGAGGTCGAAAGCAGAAGAAAATCGAATCATTCGATTTGAGATTCGAACCTATCATAAGCCTGCAGAGTCTAAATACGTCCTAAAACGAAGGAGCAAAGTAAGAGCAAAATTTCGACTCGGGAGAATTTTGCAGTGCTAAATAGGAGCTGTTGATTAAATAATATCAAAAGAGGTCTATCTTAGTATTTTAAGTATCAAAATAGGTCTAAAAAGTCTAATTGAAGTTAAACAGGAGTAAAATTTCGACTCGGGTAAGATAATTTACGGAGATATAAGTGGAAAACGGAACAAAGTTTGATATAGTTATTGAGAAAGGTAACTGTAACTTCGTTATAAATAATAAGTTACTTCATGCAGGATGACCAGACGTCTGACTTTTTTCCCGACTTGTACTCTTTTTTAAGGTATCCGAGGACATCCGGCTAGGTTTTCAGCGTGTTCGGAGTGTTCCCTTTGTGGTATTTATTTTGCAAGAGAGCAAGAGGATTACAGACCACAAACGTACTAAATTATCTAACTATGATAGTGCCATTATATTGTAAAAATATTCTATCGTTTATGTTATAAATATATTATTATAATATGATAAAAATTTCCGTAAATGTGGGTGAATTGGCACAAGTGTAGGTGACTTGTGACAAATGTAAGCGACTTGAGCATGTATATTTGTTAAATTCAATCATGGAATCTATCCATAAGTCTCTAAAGGAAGTTTAAAATTTAAACTTCCTTTAACTTCACTTCCTTAGAGACTTATGGATAGATTCCATGATTAAATTTAACAAAAATAGGTGCTGTCCCAAGTCACCTACCCTTGTCCCAAGTAATCCACATTGACGGTACCATAAATTCCAAGGAATAAACAATTCTTCGATTACAGTTATTAATGTAACATTCTCTTTCGTCGACTTACAATCAAGTGATACATCTAAGAATTTTCAACTAACAATTAACGAGTTGTGGTAGGAGAAGTGTAATTAAGTGAGAAACAATAGATTCAGTACGAAAAAATATTCATCCGGTAAGTTTGCCATATCGCTTTGTCTATTCAAATCCAAATGACTGTTTTTTTTATATACATCATTTCTGATACGTTTTCTTTCCCATACGAAGGTTCATTGTATAAACTATATGTACATTCTTCCACTCAAATTTATGCTTTTTAAATAACCTATGTACCGAAATCACTGAGAGAAAGCCACTTTTTTTATTTATATCTTTAATACGTTCATTTACTCTTGTTTCTAATTTTCTTCATCCTACATACATAGCTTCACAATTTAGACAATAAATTTTATAAAGTACGTCACATTTTGACATTCTTTTTAATCCATCTTTAGCAGTTATAATAAATAATTATTCGATTTGTAAGGAATAATAAAAGCTGTACGTAAATTAAATCTACTTTTAGTGATAGAAAATTTATTAGAAAACTTATTAACATACATAGCATAGTGAAAATTTATATGATAAATCATTATTATTTACATTGTATTTCTTACTATTAATATGATACATAATACTATTAATAATCGTGTTAAAAATAAAATTTAAGGAGTAGTACTTTAGTAATAATATATTTGTCTTTTTAATTTGATATTTTTTAAATGAAAACAAGGGT